CAGGATCCTTCACATTTCATTTTCATCTGCTGATTATATATATAAATACATACATATATATATATTTAAAAAAAGATGGCAAAAGTAAATTATGAAGGCATGATAAAAACTGGGACATAAAGGTGCTTGAAGCTGAAGAGTAAACACATCTTGACCTGTATGCATTTATTCTATTAACATATGTTTTCAGTGAATTCAACATATTTATAGGAGAACCGTCAGATAAGTGCCTGCCCTAAAATAGCCAAGTAAAGACACATTTCTCTCTTATGTTCAAGCACCTTGCAGTAATGAAAGTTATCGACAAATGTTATGACTTTCAATCTGTTACTGTTACTGATAAATTCATGAGGGAGTGCTGTATATACTACAGGACCTCCATGTCAATCGATAACTAAAGGTTTGGAAACATCATGCAGAGTGCTCGAAGAACCCCCTGAGAGTGTGTTAACCTTGTAAATGAAGGCTGTAAATCAGTCCCATGATGGCTAGCCAGAGCTATTTTTAACCTCCAACCAATTAGGAGAAGAGACTGGTGACAGTCTTTCTCCTTGTGAGTTGATGCTCAGTGTCAAGATATCTACCTTAGCCTGCTCTCCAAAATCGATTGAAAATGAAATCCATAGAACACTCAAGCACACACCGACATAAATGTATGTGTGCATATTTAAACATCCAAACACACACAAACATGAGGACTATTTGGGTGGTTTGGTCACAACAATAAGCTTTAAATATTGCATATTATGAATTTGTGCATGATATTAACATGCCATAATGGTAATTCATAACTATTTTACGTTTTGGCAAATCAGAGGCCAATTCGCATTAATTTTTTTCAGTCTCATTCACACGTTTTCATATGATCTGCTTACACTCAAGTCAGGTTTAGGAGTGGACCTTATTTTTTATTACATTTTTTTCAAAAATCGTACATTTCTGTATTAATCGCATCGTATGAATTAATATGAAATAGCCACCTTGCAAAATAGTTGCGTTTTCTAGTGAAATGGGTTGATGGGACTGTGTATGAGGTGGGTAAATACTGTTAAACTTAATCTAACCCTAAATCTAAATTAGGGTTATTAGATTAATAGTTTAATATTGTGTAGCTAAATCTGTAAAAAAAAAAGATTGAGTTTAAAAACGTGAGACACTGCACAACAGGATGGAAAACAATGTAAGGGCTCAAGAACAAAGTGACGTGTGACTCGGAATTTGTGCTCTGCATTTAACCCATCCAAGTGCACACACACACAGTAGCAAACAGACAGAGCAGTGGGCAACTGCTGCGGCACCCAGGGAGCAGTTGGGGGTTTGGTGCCTTGTTCATGGGTCTCACCTCACCTTGAGGGTGGAAGACAGCGCTGGTTATTCACTCCCCCCACCTACAATTTCTGCCAGACATGAGACTCAAACCCGTGACCTTTGGGTTACAAGTCTGACTCTCTAACCATTAGGCCACGACTGCCATGACTGCTTTTAGTTAGATACAGGAAAAACTGAGGCGTCTTAAGATATTCAATTTCCATTCTTCTTGGAAAATTCCCATCTGGAGTCAGACAAGGGGCTTGGTGAGACCTCCTTGTTTTACTCTTTATTGCTGTGACCAATTTGGAAATCACCCCCAGTGACAGGCCTAGAGTTCCAAAATGGCCAGAAACAGCCATGTCATTTAAACTGGCCCATTTAGACTTGTGGATTCAAAAAGTTCTTACACAGAGAGAGTTTTCTTCTGTTCTGTCTGGACAGCAAAATTACATTGCTCCTCTTTCTTCATCTCTCCCTTCCTCCCTCACTCGCTGTCTGTTTGATGTACTTAACCAGAGAGCGCTACGAAATTCATTTTCCACACTCATTAGTTGTGGGTCAGCAGTGCTCCCTCACTGGGCACTCATGCGGCAGCTGTCTAGGCTTTCAGCACTGATGGTGTGTCAGAGAAGATTTTTCCAGTCTGCTTGCTGGTTGGTTGATTTATTTTATTGCTTGTTCACAGTTGCACAGCAGCCCATGACAGCATGCCTTATTAGAAACAAGCAGTTTACAAGCAGCCTGATACTGAAGTAAAAAGAGTTGATATAAGAGATGTGTGCATGTTTTGTTGTCTTTAAATAATTAACTGTCAAACAAACAAATAAATAAATAAATGACAGACTGTCACATACTGTATTTAATACAACTGTTCATTTGCAATAACTGTTGGCCAAAACAATGGATTTATTTTTGCTCATCAAGAATGATACACTACATTTATCAACTCATCTGACCATATAAGTATTGAATAATACTCAAAGTTAACAAATAATTTAAAAATTATGTGACATGGTGCAGTATCAGCTAGCTGCATAATTCTCTAAATGATTCTTTCCCTCCACCCACACGCCCTGCTTCCGCTCAGCTGTGTCTTCTCCGGGGAGAAAAGCAGTGCAGTGAAGCTGGCAGACAGAGGGAGGGATGGATAAAGCAGGGAGAGGAGGAGAAGAATGGGAAGCTGCTCTCCCCTAGGGAACAATGCTCTGCCTCAAATGAGGAACCTGAAATGCTTTCTGACATTTGGTGGATGCAGCATGTGCCTGGCCTCAGCTGGCCCACAGAATGAGTGAACACACACTCACTCACACAAACACAAATTAGAATTATGCATAAAACAGTGATTTAGAAAATGCACTCACTTTATCCATCTTTATACTTCATTTAGAGTGTTGGAATGTGTGCATGATTTAACAAGTGATGCAAACCTTCTATGAGAACCTTATATGGCATTTTAAGATGTCTTACTTCCCCACAAAGCAGGAGAGAGAGTAAGAGAGAGATCATATCATGAGTTGTGACTGTATGATATAATGTTGAATGCTAATCATTCCACAAAACATCAGAGCTGCTGAACAGGCTGCGCTAGAACACAATGTCTGAGACATCTGATGATCTGCGGTTACTATGGCAACCTCATCAATGTACTGCATCTGTAACTGGTAAACCTCAGTATTAAACTTTGGAAATTCTTAAGAAATGAAACCTTGTCTTTTCATGTAAACACAAAGGTGAAAACATTTCACATTTACATAGGGGTAGGCATGATGCCATTTGACTGTGACTGCCTTAAAGGGGTCATATGATGCGATTTAAATTTTTCCTTTCTCTTTGGAGTGTTACAAGCTCTTGGTGCATAAAGAAGATCTGTAAAGTTGCAAAGACTAAAGTCTCAAATCCAGAGTCAACCACGCCTACCTAAAACGGCTCGTTCTAACACGCCCCCACATATCTACGTCACGATGTGGGAAGATTTGCATAACGCTGCCCAAATGTTCACGCAAAGAAAGAAGGCATAACTTTTATTCTCGCTGTAGTATTGTTGTTGCCGCCCCCGTCATGTCGTGAACGCACTGTGTTTCGTTGTGAAAGTGAATCTACTTTGTTTGGTCTTCCAAAAGAGGATGATATCTGCTTCGTCATGCCTGGAGCTGATCCGTGCTAGTCGGTGAGGAAATACAGCAACTTCGCGCTGTCGATCGCAGGATCGGCTTTCACCGCGGACGAAGTGGAGTCCAGCCCGGGGTCGTCACATGTGGTTGCTGCAAGCCCACCGGACGCTCCTTCATCGAATCCGCCGGCCACACCGTTCTCAAGCCCGCCCACCTCTGCTCACTCAAGCAGGCCTCCGCTCACTCTAGGCCGCGGTGTGTGAGGCTGTTTCGTTGTGAAAGCGAAACTACTTTGTTTGGCCTTCCAAAAGAGGACATGACTAGAAATCAGTGGTTAAGTTGTATTTACAACACTGTTCCAGAACAGTTTAACCCAAATATCCAGATGTGTGCAGCACATTTTATGCAGGACTGTCTCCTGATCCTGGTAGAGTAGACTACAATGCTGGGTGTTCTGACTCACAGACTATAAGTGGTTTCACTGGATGCAACAAATGCCTAGTTTGTAATGGGTTTTCATGTTTTTGTCTCTTCGCTCTGGCCAGGACAAGGCGCATCACAGTATGGTAAGGGGCGTAACATTTCCTCACACGCTTGAGGTATTCGGCCAATCACAACGCACTGGATAGCTGGCCAATCAGAGCATACCTCGCTTTTCAGGCATCGACGCGTTTCAGAAAGGCGGGGCATAGAGGAGAAACAATAATGTAGCCTACAGTATGTGGAAAATAATGTGTTTTTTGAACATTAAACCGCATAAACACATTTCATTACACCAAATACATAAAATAATGTTCTTTTTAGCAGCATCATATGACCCCTTTAAGGGTTTTCAGTCAATCCGGGATTGCGGTGGTTATATGGATTTATTGATCTGTGTGCTCTGTACAGAGAAAATGACCCACAGCAAGCAGTGTGAAATCAAATGTACCCTTTATTCAAAGTCAGTCAGTCAAAATAAATAAGCTTCAGTGTTTCCAGATTGGTATATTTTGGTGTTTATTTAGTTATAGGCATTTTCGACCTAATGGACAATATGCCTCATATGAGAATTCTGCCATTTTTGTCATAATTTTTTTCTGAAAGGCATGCACATTTCCATCAGATCTCAGATTATGAATTGGGTTTAATAGCATTCTGTGGTGGAAAAAGTTTCTATTTATTATCATAATTTTAAAAAAAATGTAATCCTTATTATTTTTATAAAGGAAAAAGCAGTTAATTTTAGCCCAATAAAAACCACTATCATTTGCAGCTACAGTAAATAATATGCAACGTATCTTGAATATCGTCATTTAATGCTACCATATATTCTCAAAAGCAATATATGCCATAGTGCAGTGGAATCTATTTTATAAAGTAATTCGTGGATCAGTTAAATCGGTCCAATCGGTCTTGTTTTCATGCGCCTCTTTAATCACGTGGAAACAGCTTCCTCTCTCTAATACCGATCACGTCCTAATTTTGAATTAACTCTCCAATATTAGCCAGATTCTTCATAATTTACAACAAATTGTTTTTTTTTCTGTGAATGTTTGTAGTGGAAAAAGTTTGTTTAGGCTATGTTGTGAAGGGCAGGTCCACACACACACACACACACACACATAGGCGGCGGCTGTTATTGATCACAGTGCGCGAAGCAGGAATCCGAAGAAATGTGGTAATGTGGATTAATTTACTGTTGTGCTTTAATTTGGAGTTATGGGAGGAGGTTCTGTTTTCATTTAATGTGACGCCGTTTTATTTCCTCCTCTATATCGACAACGCAGTGTCAAATAGATCATGAGCGCTTTCGTGATACGCTGCACAAAATCGTCTAGCCTATAGGCTACAGGTAGTTCTGTACAAAAATCAACATGTAAACATCTTAAACAAGATACAATTACTTTTTTTTTTTAAAGCAAAACTAGCATGAGCTATTATTGAACTTGTTTCCAGATAATATCTAATATATATCTAATATATCATTTTATTTTTCATACCCCATGGGTAGTTTATTTTTCTTGTTTAAGCATAAACCCAATATAGTTTAACGTCTAGCCTATAGGCTACAGGTAGTTCTGTACAAAAATCAACATGTAAACATCTTAAACAAGATACAATTACTTTTTTTTAAAGTAAAACTAGCATGAGCTATTATTGAACTTGTTTCCAGATAATATCTAATATATATATCTAATATATAATTTTATTTTTCATACCCCATGGGTAGTTTATTTTTCTTGTTTAAGCATAAACCCAATATAGTTTAATTTTTTTTAGGTTGTAAAGATTCTGTCCTTCAGTGTTGAAGTGTATATTTGACAGTCTGATTAGGGGTGAAGATGGATTTGGATTTGAGATGTGTGACTAATTTGGAGTATTTTGGGATTTATGGTCAGAATAGTGTAGTTCTAACCATGTCTTCTACACCCTTTGTGCAAGTGTACATACTGCATAAAAACGTTAAGCATGTTTTTTGAGATAATATCTAATATATATATCTAATATATAATTTTATTTTTCATACCCCATGGGTAGTTTATTTTTCTTGTTTAAGCATAAACCCAATATAGTTTAACTTTTTTTAGGTTGTAAAGATTCTGTCCTTCAGTGTTGAAGTGTATATTTGACAGTCTGATTAGGGGTGAAGATGGATTTGGATTTGAGATGTGTGACTAATTTGGAGTATTTTGGGATTTATGGTCAGAATAGTGTAGTTCTAACCATGTCTTCTACACCCTTTGTGCAAGTGTACATACTGCATAAAACCGTTAAGCATGTTTTTTTTTGTGTGTGCATTAGCTTTTAAAGGTGGATTAACATTTGTGTTTGTGTCTACATAGGTGATGCAGCAAGTGCAGTTGTGCTGGATCAGCCGGTTTGTTCTCTGTTTACATACATTTGGGTTTACCTCATGGCAGCCACAACATGTTTCCTTCGATCCTAGGACCTCAGATTTCAAGAAAGTCACGGTAAATAGTTTGATCTGTATTACCCAAGGTAATTTACAGTTGTTTATTTAGTTTTGGAGTTTGTCTGTAACTAAGTGATACAGTAGCTGCATAACACGTAGGATAATCTTCATCATAACCACTTAAAATGCATAGATTCAAGCCTGTTAGTGTTCGTGATATCTTCTATTATTACAAGTGATAACATGTTAAGACAAATATAGGGATGACTCTGCATTTTAACCTGGAGGTCTAAAAGATTTCCAAGACAACTTAATGAATAAAAATGACAAAATGATGGCCACGGAATGATGGCAAAATCTGCTCAAGAAATGCATCTGATTTTCTGCACTGGCTCTTTTCAGTTTTAAAGGGATAGTTCTCCCAAAAATGTAAGTTCTACCATCATTTACTCACCCTCAAGTTGTTACAAACCTGCATGAGTTTCTTTCTTCTTTTGAGCACAAAAAATATAGTTTGAAGAATTTTGGTAACCAAAGATTGGACGGTAGCCTTCAACTTCCATAGCATGGGGGGGAAAAAAACTACTATGGAAGTCAGTGGCTACTGTCAACTGTTTACTTTTTTTGTGCTGAACAGAAGAAAGAAACTCATACAGGTTCGGAACAACATGAGGGTAAGTAACTGATGACAGAATTTTCATTATTGGGTGAACTCTCCCTTTAATATCATGTCACAACACCAGGAGAATCCAAACTTATTCAACACAGAGGGCATAATTTATACACAGTCTCTTTAATCCAAATCAACCTAGTATTTTTTAAAACTATGCACATTCTCAGTCTTTTTAAAAGCAGGAATGTATTTTCACTAAAAAGGAACTAGTGTAGCCAGCTGCAATAGGATTGACCGTAACAAGTAAGGACTTGTGCTGGCTTTGAAATCCCCAGAGGTTTGCATTACTGTTAACATTGTGGAAAACATGCCGTGTTAGATAGCTTGTCAGATAAAGTGCATTAGTTTCATTCGATTCTTTCTATTTTAATAATGCATTGTGAAGACTGAAGGGCATGATGACAGCTTAAGTTGAATGGGTTAGTGTTTGAGGGAACCACTGTTTGCAACACCTCCTTGAGATCTGCTGTACAGTACGTGACTCGCTGCACACACTCAGCTCAGGTTACACGTATCCAATATAGGGTAGCGTTTGCCCAAGACAAGACCCAGAATATGATCTAGTAACTTGCCAAGACATGCTTTCTGTGACATTACAAACTCTCCACTTTTTGCAGTCAGTACTCTTTAACTATCTAACCAGGAATGTTTCTTGTAAGGCTTCTTGTTCTTAATGATCAAAACTTATTTATGTTGGGCAAAGAGAACCACCCCATGAATCCAACCTGTAAAGTGTTCTGTGTCATTCTTTGTTGTTTATGATTTTTAAATGATGTTTATCATTTAAAAATAGAGGGACCATAACAGCTACATTTAGGCTTTTTTAGTACTGCTCTGATTGCGCTATTTAACAGATATTTAAATGTTTACATTAATTATTTTAATATTGAAATGTATTTATCATGTGAATTAAGCAATGCTGTATTTTTCCCCGTTTTCTCACAGATTCATATATATATATATGTATATATATATATATATATATATATATATATCCCCCCCCAAACACATTTTTTTTTCTAATAAATAAATCATAAAAAATATATATTTAAATAGACCTAAAAATCAAGAAGTTGATTGAATTCATACATTTTTCTCCTCAATAAATTTTGATTTTATTCAACATACAGTTCTGGAAACACAAAATGTACTTTGGTAAATTCATATATTGACACATTTTCTGATAATAGAAAAGATTGGACAATGCAGCATCGGACAGTTAATGGACATGCAGGTAGATTTCTATTTTTTTCCCCCAAACACATTTTTTTTCTGTCTATGCTGGAGCAATATTAAAACTGCAGAGCTGTTGTACACATTCAGCTTAACAAGAACAATTGCTAACCAGTCGTTTGTTTTTGATCAAATAATCATTTTGGTTTACAGTTGATTTTCCTTTTAATATTTTGCTCTAATAATAGTTTCAAATGATGGTTACTGTTTTTAATTATAGAAAAAAGTCTCAGTGTTTTGCTGACACTCTTTCTTGGCTTTTCATGCTGTTCATGGCTCCCAGCACACGATGAGGATCCATTTGAAGTCCGTACCATATTTACTCACACTTACCTGAGAAAATCTAACAGCTGGTCAAAATTTGTGACACAGCCCTGCAAAAGTCCACATTAAAGTGAAATCGGAATCGCAAAAAGTTGTCATAAGAAAGGGGGGAATGGGGGACACTTGTCTGCGTCGGCGAGCGAGGGGAACTATCGTTCAGATCCCTTTCCGAAAGCTTGCAGTCACACAGCACAAATACATGACACACTTTGGAAACAAACCCTGTTTCATTTGAGATGTCTGAATGCCTAGCAACAGCTGTGCTATTAATTAAGCAGATTATGCAAGTGACAGTGATTCAAACCCACTGTAATTGAAACAGCGATGCTGCCACTGCGCAGACGTTTTTGCTTGTTCTCATTTCAACTTGGCACGACAGAGTGACATGATGTTGCAAGGTGGCTGTAACCAAAACCAAACCGTTACGTACGTCATACTTGTCATACCGCCATCGCAACCTCTGTTGATCCAGTCGTGGCTCCGCGACAGTTGCAGCAGCTGGCATTTGCTTGACTCCTTTCACGTCCCATAAATCAGCACTCTATTCCAATCAGCGTTTGGCAGTGTCCTGTGACCTTGATTCTCAAGGTTTAACAGCTCCCTGCATTTCTACAAAAGCAAAGTTTGGAAGAGCAAGGAAAACATATTTGATAAATGGCTCCCCAGTTTATCTTAGAAAAGGCAGAGAATGAGAATGAGGGAGGTCAACAGGATAGGCCTTTGTGTGGGACATTTAAAAGAGTTTAAACACATACACACGCATACACAAACACATGGACTGACAGTACATTAATAGAATGGAATATTGCATTTATTGTAGTTCTACTTTACCTCAGTTTATGGTAAATTTAAGTTAAATGATTTGAGACCTGCTAGAGGCCCTCAGCAAACTTCCAAGTGGGACACAACAGGATGATTTAAATTATTTAAATGAATAGCAATTAATATATATTAAAAAAATCCAAAAACTTCTGGAATCACAAAATGACACACTCATTTTCTGATAAGAGATTGAAATCAAGCAGTTTGGTCATAATTACAGAAGAAATCCTGGAGAAAATAACCTATGCTATATAATATTCTGTTTGTCTGCCTTTGTTGTGTTGGACAATAGATAAAAAAAAAGATCACACACACAGATGGTTGGTTGGTGTGTTGGTGGTTGGCTTTGGGCAAGTTCAAATTTGAACTGGTCTGAGTAGGCCAGCAGAGGAAATCATCACTGTTTAGCCTTTGGTGGATGAAAAAGCATGATGAAAGATGCTGGAATATTCTTGGTGAGCTGTGTTTCATGTTAGATGATTCAGTCTTTGAGTGGGTTGAAGCCTCGTATATTCAAACAATTCTTGGTAAGAAAACAAAGGAAAGGAAACCCATTTTTAATCTCTTTATCATGTCTTTGTGCATGTAACAGCAATTTTTTCATAATGCTCTATCACATTCTAGTTAACTGGCCTACAAGCATAGTCTCTGCCAACTTCTTTGTGTGTTCCTTTAAAGCCTTATGCTTTGCCACACTGCCTCAAGGAGAAGAGCAGGCACAGTCGTTTCTCTTTCATGTGTCAATGCAGATTTTTAGTGTGTAGGAGTGCCCTACATACAGGTTCCCTAGTGTTTCTGCCGGATATCTCTCCTTCTAGTGCTCCAATCTCATGAGATCCGACCCCTGCGATTGACCTAACCAATGTGGGGTCCATCAGAGTGTCATACGGCGGAAGTGATTCTTCCTCCGAGTCTAGAAATAGAGCTTGACAAAAAGTGTCAGTTCACTGTAAATGTATTTAGCTTGAGAAATCCCACATCTATTACAGAGACCTGGTTATTTGCACCAGTTAGGCACTTCTCCGTCACTACATACGCACAACCCAAATTATAGTGTCATGTCTTGAATTAATCCGGCCATAAATGGAGTTAGATAATGAAGAGTATGACAGAGGGTCAAGGTGGACAAGCTCCATTTTATAATGATAGAGACAGTAGACCGGCAGGAAACAATATTGAGGGATAATAATTAAAACATGTAGTATCATATACCAAAGTCCCTTAAGTCATTTCACTCGGTGGCCATCTTTGAAACGCCTCTCAGTCAGCTATTTCAGTCATGTAAGTACAGCTCCTATCTCTTTGAATGGGGAAACATCAAATTCTCCAAAGCTGTTCACCAAGCTTCCGAATAAACTTCCTATTTGAAATCACCAAAAAAAATGTGACAACAGTTGTCTCATAGATGTTGTTTCTTATTCTCAAATAGCATAAAAAAAGGTATTTTTCAGACTAGACCAGTCTTATACCGGGAGCTGCAGTGATGCGATGAGTTTACCAATTAGTGATTGGCTCATTTATTCAGAAGGTGGGACTATTCCGCCATATTGTGCATTGCACTTTCTCCCATTCATAAGTAACCGGTGTGCACCGTCTTTGTATATCCAAAGTCTTTGCTTATAACACTTAAATGCACAAAATGCATGTAAAGACACTGACTGAAATGTATGGTACTGTATATTATGTACCAAACAAATATTTTTCAAGTAGATGATCATTTGTTTAACTTGTCTTTATATAAATAACATGTAATATTAGAGGAATAGTTCACTCAAAAATGAAAATGTTCATGTAAATGAAAATGTACTCACCCTTAGGCCATTCAAGAGCTTTGTTTCATCATGGGAACAGATTTGGAGAAATTTAGCATTGCATTTAGCACTTACTCACTAATAGATCTTCTTCAATGAATGGGTGTCGTCAGAATGAGAGTTCAAACAGCTGAAAAAAACGTCAAAAAGCTGTGTATTTGTAATAAACAAATCCATGCTTAAGATGTTTTTAAC